CAGTGACCGATGGCATGCCATGCGCACCGGTGCGCACTGATTTTTACCAGTGCCGCACAGGAATTTTTTTTTTAGGGTAAGATCTTATTATAGAAAAAAAAATAGGAAGAAAATTATTTTATTCAGTATGAAAAAGAAAGTAGAATATAGGGTAGTGATTGATTACTAAAAAATGTGATGAAATTGTATTATATCCTTTAGTGTCAAACTTCGAATTGGTTATAACTGACTGAAATCTTCACCTTGCATTGCTTATAAGAATCAGAACCTTATATACATTCAAAGCAGTTGACTTACAAAATATCCTATATCCTATATAAGATTTGATCTCTAGGGATTCAATGTTGGACTAGAAAAAACTTCTCCTGTAGGAAATAGGAAACGTCAACTAAAAATCTTCCATAAACTATACTTTACACATACTTGAGCATGTTCTGGTACCTTTCGTTCACCGACACCGTCTATGTGATCGAAGTTTGGGAGCACTGATGGTTCAGCATAGAAACTTTGACATACGTAACCTACATACAACATGCACTTAAATACAATATATAAACAGAAAAGCCGATCAACTTACATAGGGGATTAAAGGTGTATGTTAATGTTTTGACAACATTTCCATTTTCTGTTAACAGAATGTCAACTGATTTTGGAGAGGAGATAGATGCATACTGCGGTGATTTGAATATGATAAGTTTTTTATCTTTGATATTAGTTTGTATCGGCATCCAAAAACCATCCGGAGTTAGAAAATAAAGCACAAAATCTAAATAAAGACTAGATATAGCACAATCTTATTCTAATTAAGGGTACCAATTTCAGACCGTTCCCCGACCATTTATCAAAAAGTTATGAGGCTTTTTTGTATACACAATCTTGTAGAACTAAATGTTTCCTTCAAATAAGACGTTTCCAAGTACTTTACAATATCTTGTTGAAAAGTTATAAACATTGTTCTAATTTTCTCAACGACAACAATTTTGTTGATACAGCATCCTGTGTTTAACCCCCGCTTAGGTTACATTGACGCACATTACAACTCATCGAAAAATTTCATTCGATTCAGTCAACATTTTTACTCCCGTGATCCATGACTCATTTTCAGATAGCTTTTTTCCCAGAATATTGCTTCAAGTTCGACTCATAAGAGTTTTATTTTTGACTTTTTTGTTTTTAGAGGTTTTTCGAAACGTCATAATAAGGTCAGATAAAATAATGAGTTTTCTAAAAAAACTCCATTGATATAGCATAGAGTTAAAAAATATGCGCTATAGAAGTAACTTTAAACAAAAATTACTGTTTTCATCAACGATTGGTGATCCCAAATAGATCATAATATCCTGGCCTCCTGCACAAGTACCCGACGTTGGAAAATATGAATCCACCAAATATTCTTTGATGTCCGGAGGCGCTGCATAAAGACAAAAAATCAAATCGTTGATTATACAAAATTGTAGCAACTTACATTCTGTTGTTTTCTCCGATCCTCTTGCAATCATGATGTTTGAATAGACTGTTGTACGATTATCGGGATAGAATTTTCCATTGAACTCTTCACACATTGTAAACGCCAGCTGTGACTGATCGAGATTATAAAATGCCTCAAACTCTTTTGCATCATTGGGGGTTTGGTCATTACTTGACTCGACTAAACGTCAAACATTTCTAAGCGCTGTAGACGAATCTCATTTGAAAACAAGAACTTACACGAGTCAAACAACAGTAATGATCCATACGTTTCCAAATCTCTTTGCTGTATTTGGATGATTATTAACTTTAAACTAAAGTTAAAACTAAAATACTCCCGAGATCATGAAATGAAATTTTTTACCTTTTCCCCCTCTCCGTGTTATCCTCATTTACCACAGGATAAT